GACGGCTCTCTGGAGTCCTAACCTGCTGCCACAGTGTGAACAGGACACTTGTGGGCTCGGCCTGTTCCGTCTGTCCACAGTTGTTAGTGATAACATGCACCGGCCTCGGCACTTGACGCTGCCCACATGAGCCTCTTGTAGCCTGCCAAGTTGTGTGTGCGCTCTTGGTGCTAATACTTCTGCACCTGTGTTTGATACTGACTGGACTCATTCTGCATAATGGCTCTCACCGGGCAAGTTTAGCAAGGGAATTGGCTGTCCACAGCCGCCTTTCATTCGGCAATTGTTTTCATTGTTCTTCTCATGTAGCCTGTTTCCATTATGGCTTGTATTACATCACATTCAGCCACATTTTTGTAGTGACTAAAATGCAGTTTTATTAATGAGACTCTCATATTTTTCAAAAAAATATTTATTGCTTTAGTCAGATCTTAATTTTAATGAATTTAAAGTTAATTATGGTCTATCAGAAACTGTGAAAATGATCCTTTTTCCACTCTTCCTCTAACTAGTTTATTTGCTTTGTATTAATTTACTTTAGACTACTGATATTGTAATGTTATAAACAATGCCTAAATGCTACATTTTCTCTTATTAGTTTATCCTCAATTACAGACATCTTGGTGTCACTGAAGTGGGAAAAAGTGGGAAACAAAGCAGCATGCATGGGCCCAGAGGCCTTCAGCCTATAGCCCTGGACCTTCCTTTTTCCAGTGCTAGACACCTACTGCTGCAGTAGGTTGTATGTCAGTGAACTTGCATATTGCTGTGTGCTCTTTGGCTGAGTTGTAAAATATGACAGGCTATTTTCCCCAGGCTGCTTCAAACTAAAAGATTAACATTGTGATTCCCAGTGTCCCAGCAGACATCTTGATTGATTACATCATATTAAGGTCATTTCTACATCGGGGTAATTTTCACACGAGCCTCGCGGCCATATTTTAATGTGCATTTGTTTGGCGGGTGTTCGGCTTCCCGCTCCTCTGCTCTTCAGGGAAATAGATGGCGACATTAACGAGCGATTAATTAAAAACAACAACATTAATGATGATGGGACAGAAGGCGGTCGGGATGGTTTGCTGGCTTTTGGAGCTAGAATTAATTTAGCCACGTTTTGCAAATTCCATGTTGACTGCAAATTCATAATTAGTTGTGATTTCATTCATTCTTAGACCGAAATGTTTTTTTCTTTTTTTATTCAACAACCACACGGTGATTTAGTTTGCAAGTATATCATCGGCATTTATTACAAGAAATAGCAGTTCAATACAGTTTCTCATTTTTAAATGAATGAGTTCTGTTCGTTTTTGTTCGGAACTCCTTTTAATTCTGGTTTTGATACGGTTTTAGCTGCTGTAGCCTAGATATTGAACATTGGTGTCTTGTAGATTTCTAGTCATTTGTCTGGAACTGGCTACGCTGCTGTCTTGGCCAGGCCGCCCTTGGAAAAGAGCTTTTTAACCTCAGTGGGATTTCCCTGCTAAAATGGATTATTAGCTATGATTTTAAAATTTAGGCTATGCAATTAGGCTATGCTAAATTAACCAGCAGCTGTCACTGAAAATTAATCACTCGAAATAATGAAACAAAATCTTTTTCGGGCTCAAATGAAAAACGAAAATTATTAGATGCATTTATTTGTTTGGTTTTGGGGCCTGTTCGATAACAGTCAGCGAGTCAGCAGCGTTTGAGGCATTTTTGAACTTATACACAAATAAGCGATTAAGAGAACTTTAACCAGTTAAATGGTTAATTTCGACTCTAGGCAGCCTACTCACTGATGAAAACTAATGTTGACTGTAGGCTACTCTTTGGCACAATTTCGGCTAAATTTCCTTGCCAAAGTATTTGCACCGAATGATTCAGGTTTGTATTTTTCTGTAGGCTGTTTTGCATAAATTGATGCAAAATGTAAACCTCACTGACTAATGTCAGACCACTAATCTGTGATCGACACCCCGGACACATGCACAAGAATACACGAGCACACACACACACACACACACACACACACACACACACATTTAAATATTTGGTAGGCTAATTTAGCTTTTTGTAGCCCTCCAGATGTGAACCTCCCGTTAGAGCCGCTCTCCACAGCAGGCCTCCTGCAGTGCACTGCATCTGTATCTGTACATTTGTTGCCCTCTAACCTCCTCATATTCCTGCTATGAGCAGTTGTGGCGCAGCGCGCGTCTGTCTCTGACAGCATGTTAACAGGCCCCAAAGAAACGTCTTGGATTAGCGGTCAGATTTCTCATTTCCCATGGAAGCAAGGTCCTGAACCCAATTAATGGCTAATAATTACCAAGACAACGTCTACCACCGTTTCTGGGGACTTCATTAGAGGAAGGGGGGGAGCAGCCTGTGGAGTGCCACTCCAACCGAATAGTTTGGTCAAGAAAAAAGGAGGGCCTTCATATTGATTAGTTGCTGGGATCTTAGCGAATTTGTACATATCGATCTGTGAAAAGTGTGGGCGGAGTTTTTTTTTTTTTTAGATGACAGAGTTCCAGGCAGCCACGTCATTAGTGTGTCTATAAAAGCAAGTGCCATGGCGCATAGTTACCATGTTTACTCTCCCATTACATCGACGGTGCAGAATTACATTTAGCAAATTTATAATGCTCACAGCGCAACAAAAGGACCGGCTGCGGTTTTTTCACGTCCTCCGGCCCTCCTCATCCGCAGGCCGGACCTCGGGGTGCACCATTTCACATGTCTAATATGCGCCGATGTTATCTGCGCATAATGTCTACTACAGAGACCCGGAGCCCTTTCCATCGTGGATAAAGCTTTAGTTTTAGCAGTGTATGTGTGTGAACACGTGCGCGCGCGCGTGTCTGTGAGAGAGAGAGCGAGAGAGAGAGTAGAGAGAGAGAGTACAGGCACCGCAGTCTGACCACAGTGTTACCGCCCCCACCACCCCGCCTTACGCACACATCGGAGCGCACGCGTATGATAGTAAAATTGTATTTATTTGTGTAAGGTTTCGAGAATAACCTTTTCGCACTCTTGTCACTACTGCTACATGAATTGTAATGTATAAGATGTCCTAAAGTGACAGTCCTCTTGACAGTAATTGAATAGTTTTCTGGAAAAAAAAAACTATTTTCTGTACCTGCGCAAGCTGTTGAGACTGAAACTTTCGTTGATTTTGGTTGTAAATACTATGTGAAGCCTGAGTATTCTGCGGAAGGAGGGGGGCATACAGTGCCGGTGTGCCATGGAACACAACAGCCAGTTTCTTTTTTATAAGCCTGTCAGTTCAGTTGATGTATAAACGTCATGGCTTCATCGGGATGAGAGGAAGAAAACCGAGGAAAGTGCTTCCTTTACACCTTGTATAACAGGCCAAACAATTAACCTACACGCTGAGGCCTCCCTGTACCCATATAGGTTTTGGACTTGTGTGATATAGAAGCCGTGCATGCAGATTCACTGCCACGAAGGTGGAATTGACTTTTTAGGAAAGTTAAGCCGTTACCAAGTTAAAGAATAAAGGCAAGATAATAAAACAATCAGAAAACTCAGACATAGTTATATACACTTCTAACTGGAACGTGTGGCTATTATTGTTTGTTTGTTGTCAGTGATTATGAATCTCATCTGCCTCTCTTCAGTCTAACTGGACGTATTAATAAAGCCGAGGGATCTTGTATGAGTGAAGACAAGTGCAGCAGCACACCTCTCTTCCGGGGACGGAGCCAATAGTGCTGCCTTCCTGCCTCAGCTGTAGAACAAAAGGAAACACGTTGTATTTCTAGAAAGCCGATACTTCAAAACGCAAGCTTCTTCACAGGTTTCCACAACCCCGTTAAAGATCGACGTTAAAATAAGTAGAAAGGTTTATCCCAGCCGGGCCCGTGTTTGGAGAGCAACATTCTCTTTCCTTGAAAACGTAATTACAGTTAATTGCTTCTTTAAAAAGGTGTTGTGCCATGTGAAGTCATTTGTCCAACCCGGTGTGCAAGAATCAGAGGCCTGGCCTGAAGTGTCTCGGGTAGCTGATGGAAATCATTTCGACAAACTCGGGGAAATTGTGCTGAATACATTATTTATTCAGGTTCCTTCTTGCTAAAGCTTGATGAAGGGCACAATATCCATAAAGCTAATCGATTAAAACAATAAATTATTGATAGCTTGTCTGCCACGCTCCCACGCTTTCTTCAGACACCAAGGAATAAACAAAACCTTTGAACACTGTTATTCACCTGATTTATTATTTGTTTATTGACCTGTTTCCTTCTTTTTTGTCCGCGTTACTTCTGCGCTTTCTACAAGGCCGCGGAGCTTGTGTTTAAAATGCAACGTTAGATTCAGTTTTTGAATTTAAAGGTATTTTTATGCAAGGTTCCAAAGTGAACATTACAGGTCTGTAGGGTCACAGATCAGCTCCTGACACTTGACACTTCCTGTAGGCATGAATATGTTTACTGGGCTTCCTCGCTTTCTGTAAAGCCTATACAATAAACGATGCCAAGACAAAATCCCTGCATATAGGGATAATGTATGCTAATTACCGGTGGTTACTATTGATTAATGATTACGTCATTCATTTCGCTTCTTCTCATGGGATAATATCCCACGGCAATTTCTGCCCAGTATTGGCTGCAGACGTGTTTGTTGAACTCGAGGTTTTATTCAAATCAACTGTTGTTACATGTGCATCATAATGAGCTGCGGTTCGGTCATGAAACAAGAAGCAGGAGAAATGTCAGAGACCACGATTCCTGCTTGCAGTGTTTCAAAGCCAGTGTAATGCTCAGCAAAGGAAAAAAATACCTCTAATAATAATAATAATGATAAAGGATCCCATAAAATGCGGTGTGATTAGTGTGCAGAGAATGAATCCGCGCCGCTGTCCCACACTGCAGTTGCTCCTTCACCACAGAGCCGCCTGTACTCGGCCAAACTAAACGAAAACATTCCCATATGACATGTGTATGCTAAAGACCCACCTAATGAATATGACGAGCAGCCTACCACCATCAGTCAAACGGCACTTTATTTCCATTTATAGGGAAAATACAAATAGTTTTTAATATCCAGCTTCGATCAATCCTCCCTTGTTTCTTTTTAGACATTTAATATTTTGTTCAGTAACAAAAAATAGATTTAACTTATCAATACAGTATCATTTAATAAAATAATTTGGATATCCATAACATTTGCTACAAATTAGACATATGCACGTAAAATTACTAAATTGTATGCTACCCATTTACCTCGTATAAATAGGCCTAAAGTAAATAGCTTGGATCGCAACAATATTCAGCTTTAACATGCAAGATAATAAAAGTAATAATGCAGAATTATGTATTTGTGTTGGAATAAATGCAGATTTCTCAAATAGAAATCTAAAAATTACCTTGTAATCCTTCAACACACACCAGACTTCTGGATGCAGGGGCTATATAAAAGGCGGTCTCTTCCTGCCTGCAGCAAGCAAACAAACAAACAGGTGCAAGACAAAGTCTGCGGTCTGCCCACCTTCGTTCAGGTGATCTGCGCTTAAGTGTGCATGCTAGTGACGCTAATAGTGAGCACCAACACTTCTCCAAGAAATAACTGCTACAAATACAAATGTCAACATTGGAGGAAAGAAAGAAAAAACCCGCCCTGGACTTGTACCCGGTGCGGACTCTGCTGGTGGAGGCTCCCTGCATGCGTCAAACAGCTGCTGGCCGCTGATTGTCCTGAGGGCAACAAGGTTCACAGACACACGTAATACACACACACACACACACACACACACACACACACAAACACAAATACAAATCATAGCACGTAAAAAGAAACTCCGCTCCAGCCTTGTACCTATTTAAGCTTGCATTAATGAAGTTAAAAATAACCTTTGCAATTGGATCACTTCTGGTACAACACGTGGACATGTCAGTCTAAATGCAAAGTTTCTGTAAATCTGTTAAGTAAAAAAAACAACGTTTTGGCAAAAAAATGTTAACATGGCAAAAATATAAATATAATGAACAATTACATAATAATAGTAAATTAATAATAATCAGGTACATTTTCATTATTAGCCGGTAACAACGACCTTGACTTGGCCATACCTCGCTATGTCCACCGCCGGCAGGAGAAAACCAAGTTGTTGCTGTTAAAGGAGTAAAAATGCAAGAAGGTGCTGGCAGGAGCTGAATGGGGCGGGTGGAGAGGTGTATGGGTGAGGAGGGGGACGAGAGTAAGGGGGGAGGGAGGGAAGGTGAGATGGTGAGGAGAGAGCAGCAGGAGGAGGAGGAGGAGGAAGAGGAGGAGGGGAAGAGATAAGTGATCTAAAGGGGAGACGATAGGACAAAAAAGTGATGATGATGAATACATTTTAAAGTTTTTTGGCCCCGGCAAGGGTGTCAGATTGAATGGCCTGTGCGCATGTGCGAAGGTGTCCAAACTGACAATGCTGGTGAGATGAAGATAGTGTTGTTGCTGCTTCTGGGCTCACGGAGGACGACGAGAGGAATCTACAAGCCGACAAGATGAGATCCAAAGCGAGGGCGAGAAAACTGGCCAAAAGTAGGTCTTACTTTTTCCCCCTTCTTAACGCTTTCTGCCGCCGGCACCAAACTCCTGGGTCTGTAGATGTCCACTGTGTCCTTGTCATTTGTCATATCCTTAAGAGAGGAGGGGGCGACTCTTTGTCCAGATATAACTTTTCTGAAAAAAAGGGAAAGAAGTGTCCTGCTCCGGTTGCTCAGTCTCGTTTCCCTGCATGCTGCGGTCTTGGCTTTGTTGGCTCCTAGTGTCAGAAAGTTTCATGTGTGATGAGAAACGCCGCCGCTGCTGCTTTAGTTGATTACACTCCCGTAAAGGCAGTGATAAACATTGCCCTTCGAATCTGAGCTCGATCTTGTAATTCGCTCTTTTCGGTTGCCGGAGGTTCAGTGGAGGCGCAGATTCGTTTCCCGAAAGTTACCAAGAAAGTTGTCGAAATGAATAGTAAGTTAGAGCTGTTTCAAGTCCTGTGAAATAATATTCCCGGCGACAGAAATAGTGGGCGCTGTGGCACTGCTGTGCTGCGAGCTGCTGCAGAGCTCACATCGAGCTGCGCGCACTCGTTCAGTCGCCTGCAAACGGAGACGCCAAGATGTGAATTTAGAAAGAAAGAGCAGTATTTTAATGCAGATTTTATTTAGTCGATCCTGCTTGAACCGCAGAAGATATCGCTCTGTGGCAACTTTGTTTTGTCCCAGGGCCCTCGGACTGCTGCAGACTGGTTCCTCCTCCAGGGAATGCCAATCAATAATGCGTCTTGTGCAAGAAAGCGCCCATACTACTACTTAGTGGACTGCTCCTCGCGTCATACGGAAAATTCATGCATTGTTTTGTGAACATGAGCACTTTGTTGGAACCCCAACATGCTTATTGTTTGACATTTGTTTGTTGGTGGGTTTATTTATGGATTATTGAAATTATTTATGGGGTCTTTTTATTTTCCTGCATGAATGCACTGTTTTCCACGGCCAGCTATTTGGGTCCGCCTGCTTTTTTTGTGTGCCTGCAATATATCTGGAAGACGATTGCTTAAACTTAGGGGGCCTGTTGCCATTTGCTTTTGCTATAAACTCGTATGTTTATTATATTTTATCCTCAGTGAGTTTCAATTTGTAGTTTTGTGAAAATGCCGAGCAAAATCCCATGGCACATTTTTCCTTGTATTTATTTTTTAGACAATCTTATTTAAAGAATTATTTTACAATATACTTGTTAATTTGTGGTGGGTGGGTGTGCTTTATTGCATCTTTACAGGCCTTTAGAAACTTTGAAACTTTGCCAAAACCACTGACCTTCTAAATTCAGCCTGAACCTCGATCTTTAATTATAAATCTGGCTTTAAAAAATATTTTGATATTTATGTCAGACCTTGAGTGAAATAAATTTGCCCACGACTTTTGAAACAAACCTGAAACATGATTATTGTAATGAGCCTGCACTTCCTATAACACGTTTAAAAATGCTGTTACGTCTGCTGAGATTATAATTATTATTACATTTTCAGTCAAAATCTCTCCACTCATGTATTCAGATAACAGCACAAAGAATAACCAAGTCTTGGTTTTTTTACGGTCATATTTTTGTTATTACCTCATTAATCTTGCGTGTGCTCCATGATCGGCGCACAGGGATCAAGTTCCCGTGTAAGTTTAAGACAAAGAAAGAAAATAGAAGGAAACAGACAGAATAGGAACAAAAACAAATGCTAATTAGATAACTTTGATTAAAAAGAAATCCTTAGACGCGCCGACGATTCTGCTTCTTGCCATAATTGCACTTGGCCTCGATCTCTAAACAGCTTGATAGTCTGTTGATCCGGGTGCTAATGAACACAAATACCTGGCTTTGCAGCCCTCTCTCTGCGGACCGCTGGAAGCCTCGGCAGCCCAGAGGCCTCAGGTCGGTTGTGTTGCAGCGGTAGGAGAGCAAAACAGAGTAGGCATGAAAAAATATCTTGTTCTTCTTAACATTCAAAACATGCAGGCCCACAACTTTTGAATACGACGCGTGGGTGTATATTCCACCCTCCTTTTTTTTCCTGTTTTCTTTTTCTGCTTGCTGAGTACAGTAGGCCCACTGCAACAAGCTGCTCTATCGTTTTATTTTTAACCTTCGTTTATGTTTTCTTCTCTCTACAGATCACACACACAGCCTGCATGTTAAAGGCCATGACACTGTAGAAACCTAGAGCTCCAGATTCCCTCGCATATAGGAATAGGTGTGTGTCTTTAGAGGAACCCATGGTGTGTTTACATCATGCTTTGGGGTTAAGTTGGTGTTAGTGTCCTTTAATTATAATATGACCTCACTCACGGTTTTTTAAAAATCTGGACCAATGCTCTTTCAGCAGCTTCTATTTATTATTCTTTTATATAATGGACTTTTATTGTATTTTCCCCATGTCTGTCTTAATAAGTGAATCCTCTGATACGTTTGAGCCCTAACACTGCACCTCAAGATAAGGTCTTGTTATCTTAAAAATTCGAAATCGATACAGGCAGTCCAGCAGAGAATAACTAGTTGAACATAAGCAAGTTTATTGCGTCTGCTTACTCCGACAGTGTTTTATATACGTGTGTCTGAGCTGCACAGAGGGCAGTTCAACACCTTGCGGCTGATTTATTGTAGTATTCTGCTGCGCACATATGTAGCTTTAAATTGGGTTGGATCAATTAAGACTTCCAGTTGACTAAGTGTAGATTAATTTTCCCCTGGTATTTGGCAAGTGACACATACACACACGCACACACACATACAGAGACGCTGCTCCCTCCTGCACGCTTACAATCTCGCAATATCATCTAAATAGAAACAAAGAAAAATAAGTAAAATAGAAGCATGTAGGCTAATACACATGCTGAGAAGCAGGAAGGTGGTGAAGCCACACTGAAACACTTGAACATGTCATTGATTTTCTAAACATATTTTACTTACAGGGCCGCCTGCGTCAGTTAGTAAAATGAAAGGTAGAGCCTCAAGGTTTTTTTTAATTATTATTTTGCATAAACGGACCCCTATCCCCCACTTCACCTTCTGTAATCCAGCACACTGAACAAATGCACATATTTTCCGACAGTTCTCCTTTCATACAACCCTCTCTGTCTTTCTTGCTTTTTGGCTTCTATGCTAATTGCCAGATATCCTATTGATCTCTGTGTTAAAGGCTCCTATTAGATGGACTCCCAGACATGAACTTGGCCTGGCTCAACAGCTTCTGGTGTTTTGACAGAAGTAATAAAACCCAACCCATAACACTTTAAAACCAACAATGGCAGCTATGTTGAACTTGTGGCTAAACGTTCTTGGTCCCGTGCAGACTCCCATGTATTACTGCTGTGCAGCTGTAGTGTGTGTCAGATAGCACTCCTCCATGTTCACAGATTAGAGAGGGAGTGTAAAAATGGTAGGATCATCAAATGGAAAGGAAATATGTGAGACTAATGTTACTGCTTTTTTTGTGCTTTTATAAAACTTTAGATCTTTCAGTTTTAGTTGCTTTTATTTTGAAGTTGCAGCACCACAGCAACTCAGCTGATGTGAGACTGTGCAGTTGGTTCTGTTGCTTTTTTATTTACAGAACACTTCATTTTGATCTGCACATTTGGACTGACTTTAGGACCACTTACGTCAGTGTTTAAAGGAATGAAAAATTATGTAGCCTAACCAGCTGCATCAGTACACACTTGGCATGGCCACATATGTGCAGAAGTACTTGATTATGGAAGTTTGGATGCAAGTTGCTCACACTTGCATGTGCACATGTGGGATATGGTTTAGTGAGCACTGTGAGCAGCAAGACTCTAAGTCTAAATCTACCTTTTTGAAAAATACTTAGTTACTGTTGGTGGTGTTAGTTTGGTTAAGGTTAGGGCCAGGTTTTGGTCACCGTTAGTCTGTTCAAGAAACATGGGGGATACATTTCCTTCACATATTATGATACAAATAAATATGCATTGCTTTTTATAGCCATGCTCTATCTTCAAGTTTGCTATGAGAGGAACCTCCTGAAGAATGTTCTTTCCATTAAAGTTTTCATATTACCCTGAAGTGTGGAGGACAGTCTGAAGTCTAAACCTTTGCAACAGTCAGCCAATAAAGAAAACGTTCATGATCTCTTCCACCTGTGCAGGGAATAAACTGAAGAATAAATTAAATTGTAAGGAACTTGTTACTTGTTAGCTCTAAAGCAATAAGGAGGGAAGATGAGTTTATTTGAGGATAGTTCACTTAAAACATTACAGTTGGTCTGGTTTACGACTCTTCCGCTGGTAACTTTTTGTTGTTTTCTTTCACTAACTAACACACCACCCCCCGCCCTGCCTCACTGAAAACTGTGAGATCACTGCTTTTATTGTTATTCACTCAGCTACAGTTATAAGTGCACTGCTGCTGTTTTGGCAAAAAATATCCATTGAAAAAGAGATGTCAAAGCTTCAGTTCAAGTGCAAAATGTGAAAATACTTCGAAATACTCCCAAATAAATACTCATGTGCCTGCAAAAACGCAGTTGATCCCCTTGTGTCATGATCAGTTTTTTTTTCTCAATAGACATTTTTATATGTCATTCAGCTGTTTCAGGTATCCTCTTACCCCCTCCCCCCCCCCCCTCCCACCCCTTCGATTTTTTTTTTTTTTTTTTTTTTTTTTTTTTTATTATTCTCGTTTTTACACTTAAAATTAAAAAATATTGATAAAGATAGGAAGCTTGAATGGCCAAACATTTAAAAATTGTTTTCATTGAGTAGTCTCTATTCCGTGTCATGTTTGCTTGACATAATAAATTGCCAGTCCGTTCTCATTCAGCAGAAATGACTCCAGTTGCACTTCAGCAGCAGGTTGAAGCGACTTTTGAAGGCGTGAAAAGATTGGGCTGACTTTTCATAGGTCCCTGCTTTGTAGCTGCACGTGCATGCATGCACAGAAACCATCCATACACAGTAATGCAGATGGATACACAAACATGTACGCTCCTTAGCAGTGACAGATTTTCGGCATTGGTATGATTTAACCCCAATCAATCA